CGCGCCCTCAGAGCTAGGTAGAGCTGAGCGTCCAGACGCCTCGGTGCCTCCCACCGGCGTGAAGACCATCCGGATCTACCCAGCCCGCCCTCCGGACAAGCTGGTCCCCGCGATGGCCCACGGTCCTCCGTCGCCTGGTTGAACCCCCTGCCTCCCAGTTGACCCCCAGTCCTCGTAGTCGACCATTAAATAAACTCAAAGGTCCACCACAGCCTCCAGCCTCCGCCTCCACCGTCGAGCCGCGATCGCTGCCGCCCGCGACGCCGCCCGCCGCGTCAGATAGCCGCGACGCGCGCATCGAGTCGCGTCGGAGAGCCGCGCCGCACCAGCAGCAGCATCTGCACCACCAGCAGCAGCAGCAGCACCACCACCACCACCCGAGAGAGAAGCGCACCTGCCCGACGCCGCCCGCCGCGTCAGACGCTCGCGACGCGCGCGTCGAGCCCAGTCGCACAGCCGCGCCGCGCCAGCAGCAGCATCGGCACCAGCAGCAGCAGCACCACCACCACCAGCAGCAACAGAGACAGGCAGTGCAGGCGCAGAGGCGCTCGCAGAGCGGCGCTCAGCGCCGCGCACGCCACGCTGCGGACCGTCGGACGAGCGCACCGTACGTCGGCGGCGAGCCGCGTCGCCAGCCGTCTCGCGAGAGAGCGGCGCCGCCGCGTGCGCGCAGCAGCCGCCGCGGCAGAGGCGAGCCGCGGCGACGTCCGCACTAACGGATAACGGCCATTGGCGGTTCTCTCTCTCTCTCTCTCTCTCTCTCTCTCTCTCTCTCTCTCTCAGCGCCGCCGCGGCGCGCCCCACCCAAAGCGTAATAATTCTTAAAATACAAGCCTCTCTCACAGCGTAAGAATCTCGGGCACAGACAACTCACTCCTGCCCCGGCGCCCACGCCTCGACCTTCTTGGGCAGCAGCTGGTTCGGCAGGTCCTCTCCGTGGCCCAGGCAGCCGTGTTCGCCCTTGCCCCACGTGAAGACAGCTCCGTCGGCGGTGATGGCGATGCTGTGGTTGCTTCCCGCCGACACAGCGACGACGCGCTCGCCAGCAAAAGCCTCGACCTTCTTGGGCAGCAGCTGCTGCTGCTCGTCGCCGTGGCCCAGCTTGCCGCAAGCTCCATCGCCCCAGCTCCAGACACTACCGTTGGCGGTAAGGGCGAGGTTGTGGTTGCCTCCGGCCGACACAGCGACGACGCGCGGGCCAGCAAAGGCCTCGATCTTCGTGGGCAGCGGTTGGCGCTGCCGGTCGCCGTGGCCCAGCTGCCCCCCACCTCCATCGCCCCAGCTCCAGAGAGCGCCATCGGCGGAGAGGGCGAGGCTGTGGAAGTATCCAGGCGCGACAGCGACGATGCGCAGGCCAGCCAAGGCCTCGATCTTCCTGGGCAGCAGCTGGTTATGCTCATCGCCGTGGCCAAGCCGGCCATCGCGTCCACAACCCCAGCTCCAGAGGGCGCCGTCGGCGGTGAAAGCGAGGCTGTGAGCGAATACCGCCGACACAGCGATGACGCGCTGGCCAGCAAATGTCTCGATCTTCTTGGGCAGCAGCTGGTCCTGCTCGTCGCCGTGGCCCAGCAGGCCAGAGCCTCCATCGCCCCAGCTCCAGACAGCGGCGTCGGCGGTGATGGCGAGGCTGTGGCTCTCTCCAGCCGACACAGCGACGACGCACTGGCCAGCCAAGGCCTCGACCTGCTTCGGCTGCCACTGCCGCTGCATGTCGCCGTGGCCCAGCTCGCCAAAGGCTCCACTGCCCCAGCTCCAGACAGCTCCGTCGGCGGTGAGGGCGAGGCTATGCGCAGCTCCCGCCGTCACGCTCACGACACGCTCACCCGGCATCGACGGGAGGCGGGTCGGCGTATTGAGCCGCGTCACGCCCTCCCCGTGACCAAGTAGCGATGGGTTGAAGGTCTGCGCCGAGCCGCACGACGAGAGCCGCCCCTCGCCGTCGATGAAGAGGCTGTGCCGGTCGCCTGCCGCCGCCCTTGCTGGCGGGTTGGACTCGCGCAGCAAGGCATAGCCGCACAGCCACCGCACGGCGCAGCTCTCGCCCTCTGGCAGCGCCGGCAGCTCGTAGCCGCACTCTTGCGCCCGCAAGCGGATGCCCTCCAGTGCGAGCGAGGCGTGGAAGAGCAGCGAGACGGCCGCGACGCGAGCGATGTCGACGGGGTCGCAGCGAGAGACGACGCGCACGAGGAGATCCGTGGGGAGGTCGAGGAGGCGGGTCGGCGGCGGCCTTGGCGAGGGAGTGGCGGTGGAGGAGGCGGCGAGGCGGTGCGAGCGGCGGCGCGGCGGGGTGGACATCGCGGCGCTGGCGAGTACAGACCACGCCTCACTTTTTCACAGGGGGGGATCCGTCTGGAAAAAGGAGGCGTGTGACAAGTGGAGGGTTGGATCGCCGTCTTTCGGCGAGGATGGGTGTTGGAGCCCTCTTTGCTCAACATGCGGCCTGCTCTGCCGCCTCAACGAGACCGCCGCGCGCGCGCGCGCTCGGCATGCCTGCTGCTCGCCTGCCGACCTGGCCAGGCCGCGCGTGGCTGGCGCCAGCTCGTCATCGCAGCGGAGCACCGGAGGCGCGGTTTGCCCGCTGCTGGCTCTCGCCCCGCCGGCGGTTCCACGTGAGTCTATCACACTCTGGAGCCGAAACCAGCCGGAAATGTGCCTCCTCACAGCTCCTCATGGATCTGCGAAGAGAACCGTCTCCTCCAAGTAGCTCCACAGCCGGTCCGGCTCGCCCCTCGGGGGCTTCATTCAAGCGTGCTGTGTGAGTGTTGAGGTGATACGAGCGCGCGTGGGCGCGGCGCGAGTGCCGTTTTGGGTCTCTTTTATACCAGTGATGAAATATAAACCGACTTTACCACGCGCGCGCACGCGCGCCGCGCTCCTCGACTCTCTCGCACCCGGCCCGAGCCACGCCCCTCACGAGATAGGCGGCTGCGACCCTGAGAGTGCGCAGCGGTGCCGCTGGCGTGCTCACCACACCCACCCATCATGCCTGCATCATTCCTGCACGCACTGCCCGGTCTGGCCGGGGCGTGGGGCGAGATCTGGCATGGCGGCGCGCTTGAATTAGCGCCTTTGATCGTCTCGCGGCGACTGCTCGCAGGCCGGGCGGCCAGAAACTGTGCCGCTCAGCCATCCGCCGAAGCGAGCGCGCCGGCGGCGGTCCGCCGCCGGCGCGCTCGGCTCAGTGTCTTCAAGCCCGCCCCCGGTGGGGAGCTCCGCATGCCGCACGCCTGCTTTTCGCTGCGCATGCTCGAGCCCCGGCGAGGGCTTGTGCTGTGAATAGCAGGCGTGGTCTGTACTCGCCAGATCGCGGCGGGAAGGTAGGGATGAGAAAAAGAAAACCCGAGTCCAGTATGGATTTCTCTTTTCGCCCGCGAATCCAGGCTGGATTTCTTCTTCGCGCGGGGTGAAAAAAATCCGGGGCGAGGTGCAATTGAGAGTGGGCGCGAGAACAATCCCACTGGGATTGCGTTGATTGCGTGTGATTGCGGTGATTGCACTCAGCTCGGGAGCATGGATTGAATGCAGTCAAATTGCACGCGTCCCCATACTCCGAACTCAATTTCTTCTTTTGGTCGCGGCGAGGGATGTCTCAACTTGGAGCGCTTGGAGTGCAGTTATTAACCTCACATCCAGGGCCAATCAAATCATCTCTCTCTCCCGGGAGAAAAAATGCCTTGAGGACCCCTGCAAGAAGCACCTCCGCCCCCCCAAAAAGGTTTGTTCTCTCAAAAAATGTTGTTCGCTCAATCAACTATACACTAAGACCCGAGACCTTCTTTCTCGTTCCCGCGGTCTTTGACACACCGAAAAAAGCCCCGCCGTTTGTGGAACGACGCTGCTTGCTCTGCGGTCGGAGGAGTACGCGCCAGGCGTAGCTACGTCCTGGCTGTCCTGTGTGGAGACGCGCCAGGGGCTCAGAGGTCCTCACAGCCTGCGAGAGGTCCTCACTGCCCCCCCCGAAGGTCCTCACGACGCAGAGGTCCTCACCAGAGATCTATCTTGTCGCCACATCAAGAGACAAGACAATCCCTTGCTATCCACTATTCGGTCTCCTGGGAGCCTGTGGGGCCATTCTCGTTGCAACACAGGGACGGTTTCACTCGAGGCTTTCAATACTGGGGGTGCCGTGTGAGGACCTCTCTCTATCTCCTGCCGTGTGAGGACCTCTGCTCTGTGAGGACCTCTCGTCTCACTGGGACTGGAGCCCCGTTCCCGACACTCTCTTGCTCTTAGATTCTTTCCTCGCTGGACCGCGGTCGCCATCCTCTCCCTGCGAGCTTTTGCTTGCCGCCCTCTCCCTCCCGGCAGACCGTCATCTCGCGTTCCCTCTCTAAGAATGGTGTGCATAATGTACACTTGTTTTGAGAGTACATTCAGTTATAGCACTAATGTGCAGCTTGCCGATGAGTGTTTGTTTTTGCAGCTTGTCTATCATGGAAAGAGAATCTTGATAGAATCTCTCTCTCTCCTATCATCACTGTCTACTGCTAGCCCTATCTCGCACTCATGGGAGATCAATTCTGAGGCTAAAGAAACATCCAAGCTACCCAACGCGGCCAAAGGATATTCCACCTAGATAGATAGATAGGTAGGAAGGCGAAACACAGTCCGACCAACGACTGGGACACCAACGCGGTATGGGTGGACGCAGGACGGGCGATGACGGTCACACAGGAGCGACACACAGATCCACCTTCACCTCGAGAACATCCAAAAACCGTCAGCAGTTCACCTACGGGTATGTTCGTAAGAGCTACATACACTGAAAAAGAATTTAACAACAAAACTCCCTCGCCAAAAAGAAAAACCCGGGCTGAAGCCTGCTCGATATTGGCGCCGCGCTCCTCCGTGCATTCCCGGCTTTACTGCATTGCGGCTAGAGGCGCGCCGACGACCGAAAGCGCGCTCGTCGCTCGGAGAGCTTGCTCGCCAAACACTGATCCTCGCCATGCCGTCTCTCATCTGGCCGGGCACGCGCTCGAGCCTTGCTCGGCCTCCCACGTCGGACCGGCACTCGCTAGCCGACGGTAAGGCGCCCTGCGACCGTGCATCTATCAGCAGCGACAAGTCATTCAGCCAGCGGTGGGTGGCGGGCGCGGCGGTGATACCGCTCAAGCCAACGATCAAGGCGTCGGTCGAGACCGCCAAGCCGGTCGCCTCTGTCGCGATGAATCTGCTGCCAAAGTTCAGCCGTCCCGCTGTCGAAGCGGCGTCGGGCCACCTGCTCACCATGTCCACCTTCATGCTGGCCTTCGCGGTGGCGCAGGCGCCGCGCTGCCCGAGCCACCAGCCAGCCGCCACTCAGATTTGCGACCACACTCCTCACCTCAGGACAACCCTTCCACCGGCACAAACCTCGGCCTCGGCCTCTCGCTCGCCTCGCCCGCCGCCGCCACCCTCGCCCCGGCTCCCGCACAGATCGTCAACATCGAGTACAGCGAGATCCTCGAGGCGGACGTGCGCGGCTTCGCCGCCGGGGCGCCGCGCGCCCTCTCGGAGGGCTACCTCATCCGCATGCTCCAGTCGTGCCTGACCTTCACGCTCGCCGTCGGCATCACGATGGTCACCTCGATCACCCTCGTCTTCGTCCCGCCTGAGGGCGACGCGTTCGACCTGTGGTCGCTCGCCTTTTGCTGGCTGCTGGTCGCCGCCGCCCTCTGCGATGTGCTCGGCCTCCTCTTCTTCTTCCTCGGCCTCAACGCGGCAATCTTCATCTGCTTCCCTCTGTACTCGGACGTGCGGAGGGACGCGATCTACAACGCCACCACCGGCGCCGTCCTCGGCGGCACCGGCCAGCTGACCGCGCTGGACAGCGGCGGCTTCGGTCTCGAATTCTTCACGATGCCGGGAGGCGACGAGAATGCCACGAGCGACGACGCCGCGCTGCCGCGCCTCTCATCCGCCTACCTGAAGGGGCTCATCTTTGGAGGCTTTGTGATCCTCTGCTACACGCTGCTCGTGATGGGCCTCATCCAGATGCACGCCGTCCGCCGCGCGGGGCGCGAGCAGCGCGTCGTGGCCGAGCGGGCGCGTGCAGCGGCCGAGGAAGAGAAGGCGACTCTCCTGCGGCGAAGGGCGGACGCCGCGCGGGCGGCAGCCACGCTGCCGCGCCTCGCAGAGACTCCGCGCAAGGACGCGGCCGGCGGCGGACGCGCCGGCGGCGGACGCGCCGGCGGCGGAGGCGTCGGCGGCGGAGGCGTCGGCGGAGGAGGCTCGCCGCCGCCGACGCGTTGCGGCGAGCCGTTGAGCTGCGGCGATGAGGAGGAGCGCGCGATGGCGGCGCTCCTCCGCGCCGCCAGCCTGCCCGTTCGGTGCCTGCTGTCGCCGCTCCTCGAGGCGGGGCTTCGCGCGCCGCTGCTCGCGAGCCTTTCTGACGACGTGGCGCGGATGTACCTTCTCAAGGAGCGATACAGACGAGACATGGCCGAGTCATAGCCGAGTCATAGCCGAGTCATAGCCGAGTCATAGCCGAGACATAACCGAAACACTACACAGCGCAATGACACAATCCTCTCGAGCGCGCCTCGTTCTCCAATCTCGGGTGATCTGTGCCGATCTCGCCTAGGAGCTCGCCATCGACGGCCTCGGCCCCGTGGAGCGAGCCAAACTCGCGCTCGCCTCGCGAAGCCCTCCCCCCGCTCCGCCGTCACCTCCCGGCGCGCCTCCCACAAAGCGCGTCCCAGCACCTGCCGGCTTGCCTCACGCCCCTCCGGCCGCTTGCCACGGCGCTCCTCCTGGCGTAGCCGCCGTCGCCACGCCGTCTGACCCGACGGCGCCTTCGGAAGCGGAGCCCGGGGCGGAGAGCCGCACAGGCCCGCTGCATGTCTAGCTAGTAGGATTAGGTGGGGGAGGGGCAGGCGAGGGGGGGGGGGGGGGGCGATACGGTTCGCGTCTTGCAACTGCTTGGAGCGGTGTGAGAGTATTGAGGTGTTGAGTGCATCCTGTACTGAGGGCAGTCTCGTGGCACGTCGTGGTGGTCGTGGGTCGAGCTAGCTCACGCCCTCCAGCCGTGAGCCGAGAGGTGTCCACTGTCAAATATGTGTTACGAGAACTAGAGATGGCAGTTTTGTCGTCGTGTGCAATTGCCCTAAAATTCGCACCGTCCGAGACGCCGGCGCGCTCAATACAACACAACAAAACACGCTCTCTCCACACACTCTCTCAATAATGTGCAGGCAGCTCTGTAGAGGGTGGCAGAGTAGGAGATCTCTGGGTCCCGAGCCTCCCTGTGGATGCTTTATTTTCACCACAAGTACAAACAAACAAAGAAGAAGTAGGTGACCACCAGACCACCGCCCCGATACCCGCGAATGGAACGTATTGCAATAGATGTTCTCACGGAGCTCATGTGTCATGAATCGAGCGACGCCTCATGGAGAACGCGGCGACCCAATCGAACTAGTGCCAGCCGGCCGACGGCTCGCCAGCGACAGCCGGAGCTCAGCCTCGTACTCGTCAGCGCTCTCCTGTTTGACATGCATTACGGCTCACTCGTCCAGAGAGCCGCTGAGCGACTCGACTGCAACGGCCGAGCTCACCGCGTAGCTCGCGCGCTGCCGGGCGAGCATGCGGCGCATCTCGGCGTGGTTGTCGGCAAACTCTGCGTTGGCGCCTAGAACGAGAAGGCAGGCGAACTTGCTTTGCACAGCGACTCGGAAAAGAAAACGCGAATGGGCGCGGCGGCGCCAGTCAGTTGGTCCTGCGTCCACGCCCCCTTCAGGCCGCGCCGGTCGAGCGCCGCCTCAAGCTGCGCCTTGACGCTCTCGATGTCGCCACCGCTAGCCGGCTCGCCCTGCTTCAGCTGCTTTGCGTGGCTCGGCCCAACCGGCGGTCCCGAGACGCGCAAGTGGTTCGGGAGGAGGGGGAGCAGCGCCTAGCGCATGAAACAGCGGCTTGCGTGCGCTATCAGTGCATTCTTCAGTGCCTGCTCGAGCGCTAAATGAAATGCAGGGTCCATATTGAGCGTCTATGGGGCGACGCCGTCAGCCGATCCATCCGATTCCTCGGCGAGACGGTGGCGTCGAACTGGACGCCGATGCAGAAGCGGTACACGCCGTTCGAGTCGTGTACCGGCCGCAGGCTTAGCAGGTTGACGAAGGAGGAGCCGTCCTTGCGGTAGTTGGTGATGCGGACGAAGCAGTCCACGCCTCTGCGAAGGGTGTCCTGGATGTGCGCCACCGCCGCGGGCTCGGTCCTCGGCCCCTGCAGGAAGCGGCAGTTGAGGCCGGCCACCTCCTCGCGCGAGTAGCCGGTCACCTTGCAAAACTGCCGGTTCACGTACACCATCGGGTTGCCCGCCATGGCCATATCGCTGATGACGATGCAAGCCGGAAAGTACTCCGCCACCGAGCAAAACGTGAGCAAAAAGCCGCCGCAGTCGGCGGGAAGGGTGTAGTCCTCCCAGAGGAGCTGCCTCGCCGCGTCGGCCCAGGCGGCGCGCTCCGCCCCGCCCGCCCCGACCGCCCCGCCCGCCCCGACCGCCCCGCCAAACGGCTCGCCGAGCAGCGACCGAATGAGGGCGGCGCTGTGCTCGTTGCTCTGCACGAGGCCGGGCAGCACCTCGGCGGCGAGGATCGAGGCGGCAAGCTCGGCGTGCTTCTTCAACTGCTTCAAGAGGGCGCGGCCTTGCAGCGGCTCGCTCGCGCCGCTAGCGCGGCTGTAAAAATCGCACGCGCGTGCCTCCGCCGCCTTGCGTCCGATGTCGCGCTCGAAGCGCGCCGCCTCGAAACAGCTCTTCACGAGGTCGCGATGGCTGCCGAGGCTCGCGGTGCGCTTCGAGCCGCGCGCGTACCGCTCGACCGCCTCGATGATGGAGGCGGCATGCGCCTCCGAGTCGAGCGCGTAGCTCACCAGGCACGCAATACACGCCTCGGTGTCCAGCGACCAGAGCCGTTGCGTAAAGGCTACCACAGGCTCAAGCCACTCCCGCACCTGCTCTGGTGCCTCCTCCCGAGTGAGCGAGGGCGGCGGCGGCGGCGCCCGCTGCAGGCTCGCGTCAAAGGTGCGCGGCAGCAGCTCTCGCAGCCGCCTCGCCAGCGCACCGAGATGCGACTCGTGCTGGTCTTTGCGGAGGAGCACGCCGACCACGTACGAGTACTTGCCAGCTGAGTCATGCACCGGGTGGAGTGTGAGCACGTTGGAAAACTCGTCGCCGCCCTTGGTGTAGTTTGTCACGACGATGGGCGGCATGGTTGTGCCGGCGCGCAGGTGTTTGACCATCAGCCGTACGGCCGGCCGCTCCGTCCCTTTTCCCTGCAAGAAACGGCACGATCTACCTGCGGCGTCGGCCTGACTGTATCCGGTCAATGCTTCAAAGGCGCTGTTGACCCACGCGATGGGAAGGCCCGGGTCAGTGGTCACGCAGAGGGTCGCCACCGGCAGCGGAGCGAGCAGGTCGCGCAGCATCTCGTGCCAAGGCCGCCCCGGCTCGTAGGAACCGCCGAGCTGCTCCGCCAGCGTGTCGAGCTGCTCGCACCACATCTCAGCGGCCGCTGCCGGTGCGGGGGCTTGCGCCGGGGCCGCACGCCGCCCCGCCTTCTCCTTCTTGGCCGGCGCAGCCCGCGCAACAGCATCGCTTCGCTTCGTCCACTCCATCGGCGGTGTCCTGGGACCGCCCCTCGCCCTCGGCGTCCGCGGCGTCGAGCCCCGCCCCCCGCTGGAGCGGCCCCCATTGGAGCCACGTCCGCCACTGGCAGCGCGCCCGCCGCGGCCTCGTCCGCGGCCCGCGAAGGAGGCCGCAGCGCGAGCGGAGCGGGGCGACGCTGGGAGCGACGTGGGGGAGGCTGGAGCGCGAACGGAGCTGGGGGACGCTTCGAGGGACATGGAGGAGGCGGCACTGGCCAGCGAGCCGGTGGAGAGCTCGACTGGTGAGTCCGACAGACGCCTGTCCTCCGACGCCCCCTCTTGACGCACGTCAACGGCCCCTGGCGCCGCGCCTGCAGCCACTCCGCCCCGTGCCGCCGCCAGCGCCGCCTCCGAAGACGTGTGCGCCAACCTCGACTTGACCGACCCAATTAGCACCTCTACCTGGCTGCTCAGGCGGTCAATAAGGCCCCGCTGCCTCTCCGCCTCGCTCCGCTGCTCCAGTCGCTGCGCTAGTCCCCTCTTCACCGCAGAGATCTCGCTCCGCAACGCCTCGACCGTCTGCTGCCGCTTCAGCCGCTTCGCCGCTCCCACGGCGCCCTCCCCGTCGCCTGACGTCAGCCGCACGGAGCCCGAAAGACGCGGACTGCCAGGTGGCTGCCCACCAGCCGAGATCTGGGGTAGGCCGGACGCCGCAGCCGCGTTTGGAAGGTCGGCCATCGCGTCGAGCATTGCGCGTTGCTGCGAGACGATTGCACTCACTGCAGCGACCGCCAGCTGCAATGCACCGCCGGGGGAGCCGGGCCCGGAGGCGTGTGCGAACGAGGCTCGTGGCGCTAGCTCTTTCTCGCCGCCCAGCCGCCGCTCAGAGGTGAGGGAGCGAGGAAAGATGCCCTGGGCAGAGCCGCTGGGCGTCGAGAGGGGCCGCCTCCGAGGTGAGCCCACAGGCTCCAAGTACGGCGATAGGGCAGTGGCCGCCAATCGCGCAGCTATCGACGAAGACCGCGGGGAGAGCGGACCAAGTGCAGCGTCGGCGTCGCCCGTGGCCCTAGGCAGCGCGGACTGAGCGCGTCGGAGGTGGGTTGGGTCGGCGGCCGCGTGTGCCCCCGACGGCGGTCGCAGGGGGCCGTCGGCTGTTAACCGCGGCAGGCTGGCCGTCTCGGCGTCCAAGGAAGGCGTTGCCGCCGTTAGCCCGGTGGAGTAACGTTTCGAGAGCTGCTCGTCGGCCTCCTCCCGGACATGTCCCAGAGCCGTCCCGTTCACTAGCCTAGCGCTGTGCGGGGCAGCAGCAGCAGCGGAGGCGGAGGCAGCGGCAACGACAAGATCGCCGCAGCCTCGGCAAGGGTCAGTGCTGTCGGCGACGTCGACACTGCTGGCCGTGGCACCAGCGTCGGTAGCGACACCAGCGTCGGCAGCCTCGGAGCTATCCTCGGGGCCAGCATCGGCACCACGCATGCTCTTCAGCGCCCTCAGCTCGGAGCGGAGCCCCTGCAGGATCTCAGCCTCCTCGTGTTCGGCTTCAGCTGCCCGCGACTGCATCGCAAACGCATCTAGCGCGTCGGTTGACGACACGTGAGGCGCGCTTAGGGGGGAGACGGCTTGAAGGCACGTCCCTGGACCCTCGGGAGTCGTCAGTGCCAATGCTGCAGCCTCGGTTGGCGTCTCCAGGCGCGACGACTCGGGTGACGGAGGTTCGCGGTCCAGGCACTGGAGCAGTCCTCGCTCGCCCTTTTTGCTCGCGCCAGACCAGGGCGCGTTCGTGGAAAACGATTGATAGCGCAAGGCCATGGGGCCGGCAAATCCGCCGTCGCCCCGGCGTGCCGGCCGTTTCACTTACACTTTCACGGTCATTCACAGCAGGCTCAGTGCGGCCTGCCACCGGTACCGCCTGGTATCCATTCACTGGTCATGTACTCTACGCCCGGGTACATCAGCATGCGGCCTAGGTGCTAGGAGCGTGTGCCCCCCAAACACATCGTATGTCGCGCTCCAGGCATGTACGTTTCTCACACGCGGGAGGCGGGTGGCGCGGACGACGCCCTGTGCGACGGGAGCGACAGCCGCATCGACGACATCGAGGGCAGCTTGAAGGACGGCCGCGACCGGTGGCTCTCCGGGTGCACAGAAGACGGCCTCGCCGCTCGTCTCCGACTCGGCCGCGCCTCGGAGGAGGAGGCGTGCATCGCCTGGTAGAGCATCGCGCAGGAGGCGTGCACGTGCGGCGCGGAGGGGTACCAGGCGACCGCGACGGGCTTGTACAGGCCGGCGTTGACCTAGTCGCAACCACGCCACACCCTCACGCCACACCGCGCGAGCCACGCCGCCGCCGCCTCCCTGCGCGAGCCAAGTCGCGCGGCGTCACGACGAAGAAGCGCTCGAAGCGGCACCCATGTGTGCTGCCCGGCAGGTCGGGCACATGCACACTGACGATCGGAAGGCCCAGGTGGAAGGCTGCGCGCACCTGCGAGGGGCCGGGGGAAGGGAGAGGTCGAGCTCGGTCAAGCTCGGTCGGCCTCCCGTCGATCTCGGTCGATCTCGGTCGATCTCGGTCGCACCTCGCGCGCGAGCTGCTCTCCGCACGGTCCGACGAACGAGTGCACGTTGAGCACGAGCAGCATGCGGGTGGGCGCCGCCTCGGCCGCCTGCGACTGCTCCGTCAGCAGCGTGTCTGCGATGCCGTCGCCGTCCGTGTCGACGGGGACGGCCCCCACGCTGCTGACCGAAGTGCTCGCCTCGGCCTCGCCGCCGCCGTCCTCGCCGCCAGCCTCGCCCGCGCCGAGGTTGTTGAGCGAGGTGAGCGCGTCCGGGTGCTCGCGATACGGCGCCTCCGCAGGCGGCCTCCCGGCCCCGCGAAAGTGGCTCGGCGGCGGCGGCGGCACCTCTGCCGAGTGCTCCGGCCCGACGGACACGTTGCGCGTGGACACGTTGCGCGTGATGAGGCTCCACTGGCGGGTGGCCTCCGAGTTCTTGGCTGAGCTCCTGTGCCTCGCGAGGAGCTGCCGCTGCGACACCCTGCGGCTCTCGCGCCACCGGCTCGTGATCTCGAGGCCCCTCCTGCCGCCCACGCGGCACTCGGCGGCCAGCAGCCCGCTCCGCTGCAGCTGCAGCGCAACCTCGAGTGCGCCCGGGTTGGACGGCGAGACGAAGAGCACCTCACGCTGCGAGAAACTCCACTCCAGCTGGCTGGGCACATGCCCCGGCATCGACAGCTCCAGGCCGGTGTGTGTGATCGCAAAGCGCCGCCGGCGCGCCCCTCGCGCGCCCCAGCCTTGCACCCCCGCGACGCTCCGCCGGTCCTCCAGCCCCTCTGACGCCGTCTGCCTCTCGCGAGGCGCGAGCGGGCCACCCGGTTGACCCTCGCTGTCGAGCGATCTCACCGGCTCCTGGAGGCGCCTCGACGCACGCACGTCGGAGGTCGCCGGGTCAGGTCGAGGATCAGGCGCCGCGAGGGACCCCCGGCCCAGCCCGTGCTCGAGGGCTTCGACGTAGGCGCCGTAGCGCGGCGAGGCGACGAGCATCTCCTCGAGGATCATCCGCAGCGACTCCACCTGCAGCGCCTCGACGCGCGGCCACGGAACGATGATCGCACCGCCGCCCTCGGACAGGGGCAGAGTCGAGGTCGAGGTAGAGGTAGAGGTGCCGGCCTCGGTGCCCCCGTCCAGTGCGCTGTCGCAACCGCCGCCGCCGCCGCCGCCGTCGCCGCCGTCGCTGCCGTCGCCGGCGCCGATGCCGTCGGCCTGGTCGCCGTGAGCATCGCTGCCGCCCTCCATCTCCTTCTCCTCGAGCAGAGGCTCGCCACGGGGGCGGAAGATGAGGCGCACGAGGTCTGCGGGGCACTCTGCGATCAGCTCCGCCAGCGGCCCGCCGCCCTTCGTCGTGTCCGCCTCGTGGACAATGATGAGCGGCTTGTTCGCCTGCACCGCACCACTCACGGTACTGAACCCATGGACTCGAGACTCTGGAGGTGTGGTACGACTTGGCGCGTTGGCCTGCACCGCCGCGCGCGCCTCGCGCAAGCACGCCGGGCTCAGAAAGTAGCCTCGCGTGAGGAAGATGAGCACGCACGCCGACGACGCGACGTACCTGCGCGAGATTGAGGGAGAGGTCGCGGGAGATTGCGGGAGATTGTGAGAGCTCACGCAGACGACGCGGCGTACCCCTCCAGCGCGTCCGTGTCCTGCAAGTCGTCAACGTCGCGGAAGATCTTGGGCGCGCTGCGCTGGCGAGCCTCCGCGGTGCGGCCGCGGCCTGGCATGAGAGCGAGCAGGCGGCGCTTCATCAGCGCGACCTGGTCCTGCCCCGTCGCCCAGGTGTGCGAGAGGAAGAGGTGGTACTGTAGACCCTCCGCGAGGGAGAGCTCTGGGGCGCCGCCGCTGCCGCGCAGCAGCACGGCCTAGACACGTCCTAGGCACGTCCTAGACACTCCCTAGACGCTTCCTAGAGAGCTGCCGCGCAGCAGCACGGCCTGCTTGGCCTTGCGCCGCGCCTTGGCGTACTTGTGACAGAGCGTCGCCGCGAGCAGCGCGAGGAGGGCGACGACGCCGGAGGTGCACGAGATGATGAGGATGTTGACGAGCGCGCGGCGGCTCATCCCGCGCTCGCAGCCCGCGCCGAACGAGCCTAGTAGTACCGGACCTCCAGAGTCTCAAGTCCAGTGTGGGTTCAGCTCCGTGGGTGGTGGGGTATCACGTGCCGAACTCGCAATCGCACTCGCCGACTCTCTCGCCCGTGTCGACAGTCCGCGGCACGCAGTCGCCGCGGTCGGAGCAGCCGTCGCCTAGGAAGTGTGCGGGGAGTGTCTAGGAGGTGTCTAGGAAGTGTCGCCCGGGCAGAGGCCGCAGCGGCCCCAGTCTAGGAAGTGTCTATAGGAAGCGTCTAGGAAGTGTCGCCCGGGCAGAGGCGGCAGCGGCCCCAGTCTAGGAAGTGTCTATAGGAAGCGTCTAGGAAGTGTCGCCCGGGCAGAGGCGGCAGCGGCCCCAGTCGCGCCCATTCTTGAGCGGCTCGCACCACACGCGCGTGCGACCCGAGCCGCCGCCCCGCTTGTCGCATTGCTCCGCGTAGACGCCGCTGCCCGCGTCGGGGTCGCACGTGCTGCCGAAGGGGGGGGGGGGGGGGCTTGCCTTGTGTGGTCCGTGTGTCGCTCACTGTGACCGCACACGCTGCGCACACGTGTCCCCCGTGTCGTCGGTCTGAGAGTGCGCCGCCTCCGTCCGCACTGACTCACGTATGACATAGTGCAAGAGCCCGGTGCGCACCAGGGGGGTGGTGTGTGTGTGGTGTGTTGGGGGGGGGGGGGGGAGCAGCACCTGCCGAGCAGGGCGGGGTCATGCGCGACTCCGTCCGCGTCGTACCGCAGCCAGCTCGGGTCGTCGCACAAGTCCCGCATCGCGTCGGCCGGTTGGCGCTCGTCCGTGGTGAAGCCTATGCGGAGATGTGGGGAGATGTAGGGGGAGATGTGGGGAGATGTTCGGACGCTCGTCTGTGGTGAAGCCCTGCGGGTGGTTGCGGATCGCGAGGAGCGCCGCCTCCGTGTTTGAGGGGATGATGCCCTTGGAGCCCGGCTCGACCAGCACGACGACGTACCTGTCCACACCCCACAGCTGTGAACAGCGTCTCTTCACAGCAGCGGCTCGACCAGCACGACGACGTACCTGTCCACACCCCACAGCTGTGAACAGCTTCACAGCAGCGGCTCGACCAGCACGACGACGTACTCGTCCGAGAGTCCGTAGCCGAGCCCCTCCAGCGCGTCGTTCACCGTGGCGCTGACGACAAAGTCCGTCGCGAGCCCCATCACGAACAGGCGCGTGATGCTGCTCTGCTGCAGGTGCTCGCCGAGCGTCACCTATGGGACATGTCAGGGAAGTGTCGTGGACATGTCCAGGACAGGTCTGCTGCAGGTGCTCGCCGAGCGTCACGTTCACGGTCGCCGCCGTTGACGTTGACTGGTGGTCGTGCTCGCCTGGCGACACGTCTCGGACATGTCATGGACGCCCAGACATGTCGGGCGGAAGTGATCGTGCTCGCCGGCGGCGGCGGTGGACGTGACGGCGGCAGAGCTGAACCCAGAGTAGCTGTCCCTGCGAGATCCGGTGCCGAGCTTGACGACGGTCGTATCGTTTGGGAGGTTGAGGTACGGGTCGAAGCGGGCGCCAAAGGTGCCCGCGACGCAGTGCGAGGGCCACTGGTAGTAGGCCGTCGGATTCGACCTGAAGAAGGACTCCTCGGAGATGGCGTCGACGCAGCGGCTGTCGGGCACCGGGAGAGAGCCGAAGGCGCTGAGGCAGTACGAGCCGGGAAGGATGCCGCCCTCGTGCGTCTTGCAAAAGGAGCAGTGGTACTCGGGGTGGTAATCCATCGTCGCTAGCGTCCGGCCTCCCGCCGCGGCGTCGACCCAGTCGTTGAGCACGGGGATGATGAGCGACGAGCCCGCGACCTTCAGCGACCCAGCTGTGAGGGTGTCGCCGATGCGCCGCGCGTCATAGTGGCTGAAATTGCTCTGGCCCGTGGCGCCCGGGTTGACGTCGGCGCCATCGAGCGGATACGCCGCCTCCACCGAACCGTTCACGGTGCGGTTCTCCATAAAACAGTTTTGCGGATCGACCAAGAGGATCGCGTCGCGAGGGCCGAAAACCTGACACTGGCGCGAGGCCGAGAGGGCCGCGCTATATAGGCCGAGCATATCTGCCGCAGAAGCGTCAGCAGCGAAAGCGCCGGCACCCCAGCGTAGAGGGCGTCGTGTAGCCTCCTGTTGGTATGCCAAAAGCGCGCGCCGGCGCTGGAGAGGGGAGCGGTGAGATTCGCGCGGACGGTGCGTGGGTAACGCAACAAACGTCCGTAGGATTTCTTTTTGTGAGGGCTGATTCTTTTGCCCGCGTCCATCCATACGTGGTGTGGACCCTGAGTTGAACAGGGGTTGTGCGCCAAGCCCTCCTGCTCGGCTCCAGCGAGTAGACAAGTGTTACCATCAACAGAGGAGAAGGATCTGACCTCAGGGCTGATGTGACCAAGCGAGCGCTGGTAGCGTGGTTTTACCTCACACCCATGGTCTCACAGTGTGCCGGCAGTCGCCGCGCAGTGTCGCTCACACAAGCCGCAGCACAACTGACTGAGGGCCAGTGAGGGCGAGCCCATCGCTGTCTGTGACAGCCGGCACGCCCTCCGCGAACCCACTCCCTTGCCACGACCCGGGTGAGCTACTCCATGTAGATGAGGCGTGGATGGACTAGAACCTGGCGGCTGCTTACTCAGACACTCGATAGTGAGAGGGTCTGGGAAGGGAGGGGCAGGTTGCGCTCACCCGCGTGCACTGGGCGTGCACTTTGTTCTTGGACGGGGCTCCTGCCTGTTGACGACGACGACGGGCCGACATTGGTTCTGCCTGTTTGGGTCACCCGCAGGAGTTGCGAGGGGCGCCCCCTGGCCTACCACTTGTAAGGTGCTCGTCTACCCACGTCCACGTAGAGCTCTAGTTGATCCCAACAGTCGACCGATGTTTTCTATTCATGAGAGAGTTGTGTTTGTTAGGGGTCCCGTACCATGCGGAATCGACCCTATCCAGTGCTCAAGTGCTCAAGTTCTTGAAAATTCAATTCTTGGAGCACTTGGAGCACTTGGAGTGCAGTTGGCAGCCTCACATCCAGGGCCGGGGAGCTGAGAAGCGCACCCAGCGGGCCGGATGATCGGGATCGGGTTACGGGCAAGAGAGCCCTAGCCCCGGGGGTGCGCGTTCGCAAGGCAATTCATGGATCCGTTTTCATCGATTCGTCATCTACGGACGTCTCCCGTCGCAGGTCAGAGGCACATTGCCACTGGCTGCGCGACTGTCCACGCGAACGCAGTTTATCATCCACACGAACGGTACACACTGACATGCTGCTGTTCAGCGCGGCGACTCTGGCGTCGGAAGTCTGCGACCATTCCGCGCTTGTATTTCGTGACCCGCACCTCAATTTCGCCTTTGGGGGCACCGCCGACTTTCGCGGCCGGCACAAGGCGGTCTACAACTTCTTGTCGGCGCCCGGCCTCTCCGTCAATGTCAAGATAGAGGAGGCCGTCTTCAAACTCCACGACGGAGCCCTCGCTGTCAACGGGTCCTTCCTCACCGAGGCCCACCTGATTGCACGCATATCGCCGCAAAGGCAAGCCACCGCCTCATTCTGGGCGTCGGAGCTCGACGAGTCCAACTTTGGCTGGAAGGTCGTCAATGGATCCTGCGTCGGCCGGCCCTACAAGTTCGGCAACCGCGGTCACAAGAAGTGCTTTGACCTCGACATGTCGATGGACTACTCGAGCGCTACCTTCGCATTCCGCAACTGGACGGTGACGGTGCACGGCATGCGCTCGTGCAAGGGCTGCCTTATCGCGGGACCCGAGCACCGGCTCGACATAAGCTTCACCGCGCACGGCGATCCATCTCGCGACAGGCCTCACGGCATAATCGGTCAGTCTTACGCGACGCCAGGGCTCGTGCGACACGGCAAGAAGGACACCTACCCGTGGACAGGAAACTACACCACGAGCGCGCAGGGGGAGGGCGCCATCGAGGGAACGGCGTCGGATTATGAGATGCAGAGTGCCCACGCTACGAAGTTTGCCTTTTCGCGCTTCGACGCCGCCGCGTCTGCGCTGGCTGCGGCGGGCGAGAGATCCACCGACGCGTCGTCGATCGACCGCATCTCCGACCCGAGCACCGAGGGGAACCGCCGCCGCCTCTCCGAGGCCGCCTGCCCACCGCCGCCAGCGGCCTCGCAGACAGCGGCAGCCCCGCCCTCGCCGTGCTCCCCCCCCGCCTATGATGTGTTGCTTCCAGGAGGCGTTGCCGCGGTCTCGGTCGATTTGGGCCTGGGGACGTGCACAAACGCGGGCATCATCGCGGCGTGTGCGGCGCAGGGACTCAAGCCTCTCTGCGACAACCCCTACCATCATACCAGCGGCGGTGGGCAGTGCCTGCACCCCGCCCAAGACACATACAGGGACCCAGTCGCCGGCGGCGTCTATTACTCCAGCCCCGACCTCTACTCTGGGCGATCGTACACACTTTGTTACCAGAGGATTCCAATGGGGTTCCCTCCCGGAGACGGCTCCTTCCATGGCGTCTGCATGTATGCGCAAGGCAACGGGGCGACCAAGCCTCTGAAGCAGCACCACAGCACCCACTCCTTTGGCGACTCCGGCCACAACGACAAGTCCTTCCATACGTACTGCCAGTCTGAAATGGGACCAGGTTCATATAACGAGGGGTGCTTCCTGGGAGAGCCGACACCCTGCGACGCCTATCCATACCTGGGCAACAAGTTCTCGCGGCAAAGCCCACCGTACTCGGCGGAGACGGCGAACCCAGCTTACATTGGCACACGCCCAAACCCGACTGGGTACGACATGGCCGCCTGCAAGCCCGAGTCGGAGGGCGGGATGGGGTGCTGGAAGACGCTGTGCGTTGAGGAGGGATCTGACGGCGGCCCAGTTTCGCTGCCAGCGGACGCGGGCACGCCCGGCAAGCCAGCTTCCGGCAGTGGCTGCGAATAGATCGCCGCGCGCGTTGCGAGCGCTATCGTCAGGTAGCTTGCCACATATGGCTGGATGCGCAGTCAAGAGGCGCAGTCAAGAGGTATCATGCCATCATCGGGGCACGCTATCGGGGAGTGATCAGACATATCTCAGCACTGTCTCTCAGGGCGATGCCCGCCGAGGATGGGGCGGGGGGCCGCGCGCGCGCGGGGGGGGGGGCGTCTTTGCAGTCTCGGGGGGCCTGAACTTCAAACATACTTTCTCAGCTGTGTGTCGCATTGGGGCCATGCTGTTTGCTGTATGGTGTATGCCGTCAGGTCCGCCCGAGTTTTGCAAAAGGAACTAAGGCCTGGACGCGCTCCCCCCTCGGCTGCCGGGCGGCCTGGAGGTACGCAAGGAAGGCCCGACGTGGCTGGCGGGGACGCCCAAGTGGGCCGCGAGCAGAGCGCGAAGGCGCGCTGCCACCGCCGGGTAGTGCCGGATCAGATTGGCCGCGTCTGGCTCGGCTCCGATCGCGTGCGCGGTGGCCGGCGCGCCGCGGAAGAGGTCGGCGTGCCGAGCGCACCGGTCGTGCGGCGCGGCGCGGCGGAGAGAGCGCCACGCGGCGACGTAGTCTCCGGCGGGCCACGAGCAGCGGTGCCGCGTGCAGCGCAGCGGCTCGTGCACCCACTGCACGAGGGTCCACTCACTGGTGCGAACGGCGTGGCCGATACAGGGCGACGAGCGGACGTCCCAATCGTGCCCAAACGGCCACAGCGAGAAGACGGCGCGGCCGGCGGCGCGGCCGGCGGCGCGGCCGGCGGCGCGGCCGTTCGAGCCGTTTACGCGGCGGCGTGGGGGGAGTGTCGGCGAGGGGTGCCATGCGGGGTGGAGTCGGCCGGTGGGTGTCCGCACGGGTGATCGCACGGGTGTTCGCACGGGTGTTTGCGTCGCTGCGCCTCGGCCCGGCACCCTGGCGGCTCTCGGCTGCCGAGGGGGGCTCGCTTGCCCGTGCCGGCGCGGCTTCTTTTGGCGCGGCGGTGCCGGGCGAGGAGAGAGGCGGCGGCCGCCCCGCGCTGGAGCAGGCCGGGAGGCGGCGCCTTGCTCCGCGGAGAGCAGGAGCGAGCGGCCGGCGAGGGCGGAATCCGACGGGTCGGGCGGCAGCGCGGCGGCGGCGATGAGCGTGGGGAAGACGTCGAGAAGAGAGCAGGGGGTGCCGACGGCTGCCCCCGCCGGAAGCTGGCGGTGGCCGGCGAGGAGAAGAGGGACGTGCGTGTCATGCGTCGCGAGCGAGTGCTTGCCCCACCCGCCCAGCTCGCCAAGCTTCCACCCGTGGTCGCCCAGCAGCGCCACGAGGGCGTCGCCTGCGGCGGGAGACGCATCTCCCACAATCTCCCACAATCTCCCACAATCTCCCACAATCTCCCGCAATCTCGTCGCCTGCGGCGGGAGACGCATCTCCCACAATCTCCCACAATCTCCCACAATCTCCCACAGTCTCCCGCAATCTCGTCGCCTGCGGCGGGAGACGCATCTCCCACAATCTCCCACAATCTCCCACAATCTCCCACAATCTCCCACAGTCTCCCACAATCTCCCACAATCTCCCACAGTCTCCCGCAATCTCGTCGCCTGCGGCGGGAGACGCGTCCAGCGCCGCCACCACGCGGCCCACCTACGAGCCGTAGGAAGCAACCCACCTTAATAGTGACTACTCCAACCTTCGTTCACACTTACTCAACCTCTTGACTAATAACTACGCAATCGTAATTAATCACTCCTCAGCCTTAATTGAGAATGGCCCACCTGCGAGTCGACGAAGGAGACCGCCGCGGAGTACCCGACCGCCAGCTTCCGCCCAAGCCCGCCACCTGCCGACAAACGCGGCCTCCGCCGCTCCGCCAGCCGCTGGCCGTAGTTGCCGTAGATCTCAGTCAGCCCCTCTTGCAGCGAGCGGCCGGTCAGCAGCGACGCGTTTGCGGGCGGGACGGTGCGGGCGGGCAGCGGCGGCGGCGAGCGCTCGGCCGCTACCCAGAAGGGCTCCGGCGCGATAAAGGGGAGGTGCGGGCGGATGAAGCCGACGGCGAGTAGCCACGGCCTCCGCTGCAAGGGCGACGTCAGCGCGCTTATGGCGTCGACGGCGCGAGCCGCGATCTGCTCGTCGGTGTGCCGCCCCGTCCTGGTGGCAGGAATTCACTAATCACGAACTGATGCATTAATGACCGCTCGTCGGTGTGCCGCCCCGTCCTGGTGGAGTTAGTCATTCACTCACTCGTCACTGTGTCAATCATTTCATCCGTCCGTCGGCGATGTTCGTCCCTGCTCCCCTCTCGAACAGAGGCGCCCTCCACTCCGCCGTCGGCGAGTGGCGGAGGCGGTAGCCGTTGTACTGCCAGCCGACGCCTGCGGCGCACGGCCCTCGCACCCCGCGGCAGGTCATGTTGTCGGCAAACTCGTCCTGCGTCGACGAGGGCACGGCGTCGAGAAGAGAGCAGGGGCTTTGCCCGAGGCTTGCCCGAGGTTTGCCCGAGGTTTGCCCGAAGTTGCCCGAGGTTGCCCGAGGATGCCCGAGGTTTGCCCGAGATCGCACCTGGGTCGACCACGAGGCCACGTCGTCGAGCTCCTGGTGGAAGACCTGCTCGCAGCTTTCTTTTTATTAACGAACGAACGAACGAACGAATTAAAGCTCCTGGTGGAAGACGACGTGGCGGCTTTCTTTTTTTGGTCGCCGTAGTCCGGGTTTCGGAGGCGAGAGTACTGTAGCTGCTAGTGGACGACCTTGCCATGGGAGACCGCGAGGTAGCCGGCGCGGCGGAAGCGCTGCGGCAGCGTGACGACATCGGGGATGTGATCGCGCACCTGCAGTGCGGCTGGGTGTGCTGTCTGAGCGCTTGTGAGCTGTGATGAGGGTCGGCGAGAGTGTGTGTGTGTGTGTGTGTGTGTGTGTGTGTGTGTGTGTGTGTGTGTGTGTGTGTGTGTGTGTGTGTGTGTGTGTGTGTGTGTGTGTGTGTGTGTGTGTGTGTGTGTGTGTGTGTGTGTGTGTGTGTGTGTGCCGAGCTACAGCTGCAGAGTGCTACACGGGTGAGCGTCTCGCGTCTAGGCTGAGTCGCATGAGTGAAGAGGTCGACGACGCCCGTCTGGTGCCTGCGGTGAGAGCAGCCACAAATGAACTGTGGGTCGAGAAGCAGCAGTCTCAAATGCTGAGTGAGGAGTGAGTGCAGTTTGCGCATCTGACGGCTGGTGCACGGTGTACGGCCGGTGAGAAGCGCGGCACGCGACGGGTTGCAGTTTGCCACCGCGGCGTGGGCGTTGGTGAAGGTCACGCTGCGTCTCGATAGAGCGTCGATGTGCGGCGTCCTCGCCCATTCGCGGCCGTATGCGCCGAGGTCAGGCCGGAGGTCGTCGACAATGACCAGCAGCACAGAGGGCCGCCGGAGGCCGGTGCTGGAGTTGGTCATCTGGGACGTCGCAGTGCTGCTCTCATGTGGCAGGCACTGAAGCTGCAACGCTCGGGTGGATATGGCGAGGTGAGACTGGACAATGTGCCGAGGCAAAGTGGCGGAGCAAACTGCCGAGCAACTGTTTTTTCTTTTTTCTGGGAGTTTTAAATTCTTTTTCTCACTCCCTTTGTTCTCTTCTCATAAAATCGGAGGGTCGGCCCACGGGGGGACTTTTTCGTGAATTGAAGCGACCCAACGATTTTATGAGTGGCAGCAAAGGGAGTGCTTTTTTCTTCTTAGGAAGTTGTTTCTTTTGAGAGAGTTTATTTTAAGAATTCTTTTGAGGTTAGCCCTCGATGTTAATATGAAACAAACGCAAGGCGGACATGGGCATATCGCTATGGGGCCCACAGACATCCCGCACACCCGCCGCACACCCGCCGCCCCCGCGCGCGCCCCACCCCGGCCGGGAGAAAGTTTTTTTTCTAGCAGGCGTGTGTGTGCGCGCGCGGCGCAGCCGGTGCCGCGGCGATGCCTCCGGCTGTTTGCGGCGGGCGGCTTGCTGCTCGCTGCGATGGCAAAAAACTCGTCTCGTCGCACACCAAGGGCTTATGCTCTGACACTAAACGCTGGCTGAGACTCTGCTGCGCGCGCACACGCCTCCACCGAAGTGCAGCGTGCGTACTCTCCACCAAGAGAGAGGGAGGGAGAGGGAACGGCGCGCCAACTTTGATATGCACAGGTGACGAGGCGGCTGCACACGAGGAGCCGCAGACGAAGAGCCTCACACTCGCACGGCTATGCCTCCCGAGACGGCCCCCGACGACGACGAGAGCGCGCTCCTCTCCCGGATCGACGACCTGCGGATCGCGTCGATCCGGCCGCTGATGCCGGCCGCCTGCCTCATTGAGGTGAGCTGGCGGACGCCTCGGTCGTCGAGACCATCCGCGGCGCGCGCGGCGCCCTCTCGGCTATCACACGCGGCACCGACCAGCGACTCGCTGTGGTGCCGCCGCCCTCCTCCTTTGCTTTAGACCTCGCCACACCTCACCACACACGCATCCGCCCACACGCGCACATCACACAGCCGGCACCCGCCCTCACTGGCCCTCAGTCACTTGTGCTGCGGCTTGTGTGAGCGACACTGCTCGGCGACTGCCGGCACACTGTGAGACCATGGGTGTAAACCACGCTACCAGCGCTTGGTCACATCGGCCCCGAGGTCAGATCCTTCTACCCTGTTGATGACAATACTTGTCCACCGGCTGGAGCCGAGCAGGAGGGCCCGGCGCACACCCCCTGGTCAACTCACCCTCCACACCCCGTACCTTTTCGGGCAAACCATCAAGCTGCTTACAAGCTGCATGTCGATTTCGACTTGACGGCAGCATGAAGGCATCACGATTCACGTCTCCATGCTGCCGTCAAGTTGGAGCCAGTCTGCGGCGACCACAGCGCTGAGTCCTGAGAAAGGTACATAGCGAGAGCTTTTCAGAGTCAAGCGATTGCGCGAAATCCCACACACCACACTGGTGGATTTTGGTACGCACCGCACCCCCTCTACTACCAGAAAACAGCCCCCCTCCCCCCCCCCCCCCGACACAACGCAACGCGGCCTCACGCGGGGTAATCGTGGCTGCGGTCGCGGGGAGGGCGAGTGGCCCCTTCGCTTCTGCGAGAGACAGGAGCTCGGGTGACGTTCGCCGGCAGCGGCGCGAGAGACACAAAGTTTGCACACGTGACGTTCGCCGGCTGCAGGATACTGCGCATGGCACGGTCCGGGAAAGGATTGGAGGCCTTCGAGTGTAGCCCAAACATAGGTGGTAGGCCCTGTCTCTTGCGGATCTTGGGCGGCACGAAGACGTCGTCCAGCGTCCACTCGCGTTGGTACCTACTCGCCATCAACTTGCGCGCGACGGGGGAAGAGCAGTCTACCACAGGTGACATACAGCCGTGATTATTGAAGCCGTCCGCTGGCGCAACCAGCTTGAGACCGGCTCGGCCTCGAGATCCTCCTCTCCCAGGCACAGGCCCGAAGGCCTTGGTGAAGACAGATTGGTAGCACGGAAACGCCACGTTCGCGGGGCGCCTCGGGCACGACGAATTCCCTCCAGGGCCGAGCGCGTAGCCACGCGCGATCACCTCCATCAGCGAGCCATTATCGGTGCATGACCAGGTGTAAGCCATCGTCAGCTTGATCCATAGGGGCAGCAGGAACTCGAGCATACGTGGCGTGCGACGCACGAAGATCGCGCCGTTGTTCATGATCTGGTGGTGGTCGGTCATCACCAGCTCACTCGCGTCGTCGAGCCACTCGGAAAGCGGGCGCTCGTGGTTGACCAGATACACGTCGGCGTCGAAATAGATCACCCACCTGCAGCTCTCGTCTCGTAGGCGAGCAAGGATGGCCGCGGGTTTTGCAGTTTGAGCCGCTGGCTTTGAATCGTCCAACCACTGCGCGAAGATGCGGTAGCCGTGCCGGCCAGCATAGCAGCGCTGCGAAGCGACCTGCGAGGCATATTTCTTCGCCACAGCAGGTCCAATCATTGTCAGCATGCAGATCGATGCCGGAGCGACCCCTGTGTCGTCGGAGCTTGGAGCCCTGGTGCTGTCTGCCGACTCGCTGGAGCTCCAGCGGGTGCGACTCCGTCCAAGTGTGCCGGATGCAGCCGAAGCGCGCACAACACAAAGCAGCGCGAGGGTGCGCCATGAGAGTCGAGCCATACGGCGGCAGCGCAAGGGTACGAGCGCAGGGAGAGAGGGATGCTGAGGGATGCTCGTCGATGGCGTGCAAATCTCGCGTGTTCGATCAAAATCGGCGGGCTTTCGACGCTGTTCACGCGATCGGCTGTGGTTACGCCCCGCGATAGGACAACAACGTCTGTCCCACACACGCACAGACGCGCACATACATCATGCTCGGGCACCCCCCCAGCACAGTGTAGTCGTGGTGTGAGCACACAAGCAAGTACTAGCAGAGTGCACACCTGCCTTGGCGGGTGAGGGTCGTAAGCCTCAACGACGCCCTCGCGAGTGGCAGGTGCTGCAATCATGTTGCTGAGCGCTCCCGCGGCATGCTCCTTCTGCCTCTCAGTCCCATCGCGAGCCAGATATACCAGGGACATCTCACATTTCACGCCTGCGGCTTGAATAGGTACCATGATGGGCAGCATCCCGGGTGGACCATGCGGTGTGTGACGTGATAGGTGAGCCCTTGATCGCGTACGAATTGCTCGAGTGCCGCCTTCACCCCGCCCGTTCTGCTCGCCCGCCAAGTGTCTGGACCACCGTTTGTCAGCCACGGCCACTCAAAGTCATGACCGGCGATCAGGCCTCCCGGGCGAAGCTTTGGCCAGTACATGCGCAGGTCTTCTTGCACACCACGGAAGTAATGGTCGCCATCGATGTATACAAAGGCGAGCGACGAGTCCGTTATGTGCGCTGCCGCGTCTGCCGATAGCATTCGCAGCTGACGCACCTTGCCGCTGTAGCGCGCGTGGCGAAAGTGTGTCCTCACCGAGCAGAGCTGCGATCCAAGGTGACTCTGGTCCGTCATGGTGACCAATTTGGCGTTCTTTCCAAAGCGCTGTGCAGCAGTGACCTTGTCGAACCATGGATCCACCTGGGTGTATTGCGTGCAGCCACGCCAGCCAGCGAGCACCATAGAGGAAAACTCTCCGTCTGCCACGCCGACCTCGACTGCGGCGCCGCGGACGTCCACCGCAGCGAGGAGCCACGCAAAGTCGTTGCGGGAGGACAAGGTTACGCGACCTGCTATGACATCTGATAGCAGTTGTGCACGGTCCTCCGGAAGGCTGCACGGAGGCCACGCCGTCATTGCTAGGCGACTGCTCTTGTATGTCTTGGAGGACTCATTTGAGTGCGTGCGACAGCGCGCATGGCGTGCACAGTACCAGCCACGTTCAGCATCAATCCGATGGTCGAGGCACGGCCGGTCAATAGGTCCCGGTGGGTAGGGTGAGGGGCATGATGCCGGCCAGTTCCAAGGCTGTGGCCGCTCGCGAACCAACCATCTTTGCCACGCATGATCTGCAGGCAATTTTGGCGACGGAGCGCACGAGCCGCCGTCGGTGAGCGAGCACGGGCTGCTGACGTTGACGATCTGGAGCGGCGCCGCTGGGTTGCCGCATACGCCCTTCAAGAAGAAGAGGGTCACAAAGCCGACTCGGAGAGCGCACGCGCTGGAGAGCAAGGGTACGGAGATCGCTGCGTGGCTGCGGCCCTCCACGTTCTTGACCTGCCCACGCAGCAGCGGCTCAAGGCATGCTGCGAGGAGCAGCGCCAGCACGGCCGCCCAAGGGTGGAGAAAGAGCAGGGACCGTCGATCTGTGAGAGGGCCGTGGCGTTCGTGAAGCTCTCCTCGAGTGAGGGGTCGCCGATCTTGGTCGCGATGTGGAAACGGGGCCGACGGTGTGGGAGCGGGGAGCGGGGCGAAGGGGGGGCGAGAGTGGGTGGAGGGCGGCGCAGGGACGGGCGGCGGAGCAGGGACAGGCGGGAAGGGAGGTGGGTAGGGCGGCTAGCAAGGGATGCTGTAGAGAGCAGAGAGTCGCACACCTTTGTGGCCGTCTCGTCGGCCTCGATCTTGGAGAGAGAGAGCCGCGGCGGTCGTGCAGCCCGTCGTGTTGCTCGTGGAGCCCGAGCCCTTGATCGGATCCAGCTCGGCATCGGCCGCGGCGCCGATGGGCTTGAAGGTAGCTGGGGCGGCCGCGCGAGAGGCGGCGTGCGAGGGCGTCGCGAGGACGGCGAGGACGAGCATGACGGCGTGCAGCACTGTTTTTATATTATGGAGACCGCCTTCGTTGTTAATAAAAATACAGACGGACACTTGCTGTGTGTGTGTACTCTCACACACACGGACACTTGCTGTAGCCACATGACACGCACACACGCACACCGCACCGCACCCCGCACCCGCGCCCCCCCCCCCCTGCCTCGCCTGAGTTGGAAGGAGATGGGAAGATGGAACAG